CACCTTTAGCGATGAAATATCAGTCTTTTTAGCAGTTTTTTTTTTAAATTTAAAAAAGATTCCAAGAATTATTTGTTTTGGGGTAATTATTGTAATAATGGTCTTTTTCTGACTGAAGTTTTTTCAATAAATTTGTTTGAAATCATATCTTAATATCTGTTGCTTAAAAGCTCAAATGAAAACTGTATTATGTCTCGAAGGAAATGTAGGCAACTTTAAATTAACGTGTACACAATAGAATTTCAGATAATTTCGCATAATTGTATTAATGGGATTGCGAAGCTCTGATCACTAATTTGGCATAAAATATGCCTGAAAATGAGCAAACACAGAAGTAATCAACTGTATTAGAAACAGAAACTTGTGAATATAAACTCTTATGAACTAATAAGAAGTCAAGATGAGGTAGTGCACCTCGTTCTTCCTTGCATGGTAATTTTGTTTGAGTGTTGTATGTGTATTCAGGTGACCGAAATTGTTCCTATGGGGAATTACTCCAGTATAAAGTGTACTTAGTATTAGAAAATCAATTGTTTATAAAATCAGTTAACTCATAACTCAAGCAAAAAGGCTTTCATCAATAGCATGTTCATTTGCTTTTTACTAAACAGACATTTGGAGTTTTGAAACTAAGCTCTATGATATACTCTCTGGTATTTTAATCACTAATGTACCATTCAGAATTGACTTTTAAATAATATTTATCGCATAGACATTTATAAAATTATATTTGTAAAATCTCAGCGAAATTGAAATGATTAATTCCAACGTTTCGTTCGGCAATCTGGTCCGAACTTCTTCAGGGAAATTAATCGAATTAAAATAAACAGGTTTATATATAAAAGGAACAACTCATGTTTTTAAATTTTTGTCCAATCATGAGTCATGCAACAGTCATCAACATGTATAATAAATAAATAAATAAAATAGTATGTTTATATATAAAAGTACATCTCTTTCGGACCAGATTGCCGAACGAAACGTTGGAATTAATCATTTCAATTTCGCTGAGATTTTACAAATATAATTTTATAAATGTCTACTTCTCACTCAGCGCTCAATTATTTTGCAACTATCCGGTCAAATCTTGATCACAGTTCATATGATTTATCGCATAGCTTTATTACACCTTCAAATGTTGTAGAATACAATTTGTAGCCCAAACAATAATTTTATGATACATTGGAGTAAAAGCCTGTCTTCACATCCTACCTCTACACGTGGTCATACAGATCTTATAAATACTTGCGCTGAAACGTGATATTTTACTCAATGAAATTTGTCTTTAAGCAAGTTAACTATAGGTTAGTTAATTTGCTTTTGAATCACCTACGTCAAAATGTGTAGGCTCAAATAGTGCTACTAACTTAAGGTATGCACATTTTAAATTCATTCATTAGTAGTTTAATACTAGTTTATAATAGTTTGTATTACTTTGTTTACAGACTGGCTAATCATAAACTTTAGACTTAGAAATGAGTAATCATTTGTTCTTGTAGGTAAACAACCCATAAAACAACTCTGTTAGATATGTTTTAGAAAAGGAATAAATGTCACCTTATTTTATTTTTAGTTTCCTAACCAAAGTCAATAAGACAGTATGCATTCACTCGGTAGACTTTATAGTTGGTTGAATGGGGAGTGTACTCGTCTTGTGTACTCACTCTGGGTTCGATCTCTATTAGGATTTTGGGTGTGTACACTGTTGAATGGTCGCAATCTAAGATGAAACTGTTGTCCCTTGCTCCTTGGTTTTTAATGGTTCCCCATTTGGTTTTGATTTTTGAGTAAATCTACCTTAATGGACTTTTTTTGAAATTGATATGATAGATATTTTGTCTTACTGTTGGTGATAAAGTAGTGAGATATAGTTTATGCAAATACATGATTTGTATTACTTCACCACCGAATGATGAAACAGATTACCATTTATGTTTAATTAAAAATTGGTGCCTAATAGTCATCACTGTAAGCACCTAGTACTATGTGTTGGTCAAAATCTATTTATTAGATGTGCAATAAAATCACTGATATAAGTAACATGAAAAGACTGTGCACTCTGATAAACTTTTATCGTGATGTTCAACGCGGGCTGGGGTCAATCGATATGAAGTTAATGTACTCAATAGTGCACAGCAGTGTCGTGTTACTCACTCAATATATTGATTTTGATCAATACGCTTGGGAGGCTAGTGTTACACTTCTCCACTGAAGAGCCAATTTTCATACAGTTAGGAGGATTGTTTTTGAACGCTATTTTCTCAGCCTGCAGTTGCTCATACTCTCTGTTACTGTGTACTTCTGGACTTAGTGTTAATCAACATACTGAGCTAAAACACTTTGAACAGGCCTTTGAAAATTAAATAGCTCTATTTTTTGCTTGAGCAGTCAACAGTAAATGAATTTCAGTGAATATTTATCAACATGTGCCTAGAAGGTGTTCTTGTTCAGTAGATAACTGAAAAAGTAAAGAAACCTTAGAATGGTAAAATCTCAAGGTGAATTAATAATATAAGTTTCTGAATGTTGGATGGTTTCACGCAGAATTTCGGACCTAAGGATAGGTTCAGTTTGAAAACCTGATAAATCAAACATATGACCTGATACCAACATCTGAAGAGAACCTCCAACAATTCAAATCGTCAGTCCTTGACAGCTGTCATAGGTTTATAAAAATACAAGTCACTAAAGGGATGGAACCAGCTAACTGCAGATACTGGTTAGGCTCTCTATTTACTAGGCTACCACATCTCACCGTTAACTAGGTCATTCTTTTAGTGTGTATTTGTTTTGCGCCTGAAAACACTGTGGACAATTTAAGTAACAATTTTCAGAGGCTTTCCTAGACTGGTTGTGTAACATAATCTGCCTTTTTTATGCTGTTGACTGGATATATAAATGTATATTTATCTATTAATATGTGTACCTGTGTGAAAAAAATTATTTGTTTTGCAAGAGGTAATGCAGTAGTAACATAAATACCTGGCTAAATGTAACATTACATTATTATCCATTCCTTCTATTTCGAGTGAAAAATTGAGTCACAGAGGCACACCAGCAATTTAGTTGGTTCCGCGATTCCGCTTTCATCTGTCATTATAAGTTCACATAAAGTTCCATTTCAACTTCCAGTAGGGCACCTGGTGTATAACGTCACTGAGTGGTTTCCTCAGCATATGTCCAGTTTATTATCATTTACTTCTTAAAATTTCTCGGTAGTAAATCATTGTTTTTTCGAGTTTGACCACGGACTGATATCAGTTAGAGAACCACTGAAAACCAGACAGTACTGGACAGCTGTTTCATTATAGTTTGGAAATCACTGGCAGTACGCTAGTGGCTTGATACTGGACGGAGTTTCCCGGAGTTCTAGTGAGAAGTCGCGAGGTCCATCCAGTTAGATGTTAGGCTGATTTCCCGCAGATGACACTGGTTGGTGGTCGCACTAAAATCACGAGTTGGTAGAAGTTAGAATTCATGAACCATTGAATTGGGTCCAAATGGCTGAATGATCTACGAGGTAGCCTTGTAACCAGAAGGACCTTGGCTCGAACTCCGGATAGTGTGTACTACTTAAGAGTCCTAAACTATGACGAAACAGTTGTCCAGTACTCCCAGGTTTTCCAATGGTTCTTTAAACGATATGAGCTCATGATGAAATCCTATAACCAATCAATCAAATCCCCACAAACTCATGCTTGAATAAACTTATCTGATATGGAATTTTCCACACTGCCAGACTTCCTTCCTGCCTATCGTCTCTGGGTTGCTGTATATCTGATTTTCAGCATGAAGATAACAAAGAGAACTGCTAATGAAGGTCTTCACTAGCCCAGCAGAAATGCCTTCGATGATGCGCGCATCAGGCCTCCTAACCGCATGCAAACACTGAATTCACTTGAGTGTTAAAATCTCAGATGTTGATCATTTTGCTGGATACTGTCGATATTCACTTTCATTTTAGAATATTAAACACTTCTTTGTCTCCTCTTATACGATCGTGTCTGTCTTTAACATCTTCATGTGTGTTCCCCGTAGTCGTTTCCCAGGTGTGTGAAGGAGAGGACTTACTTTAGATGTGCCCTGTTCATGGTGGTTGATGTTTGTTGTTGGTCGTCTTCTGTATTCATCACTTCTGTCTTCTCTACACTCATCCGAAGTCCCATCTTCGCTGACTTTTCTGCTAGCTTGTTAATCGCCGCCGGGAAAGCAGTTAGTATGTGAGACATGAGATATAAATAATCTACAAACTTCGCATGTTTTCGAGTCGACTTGTCGGTTTAAAGTGTGCCCATCTTTTCACTCTCTGGCCCACAGTGAGAAAGACCATTGCTTATAACACTTTAGCAGATCTATGGACTGGATGTTATTCTGCTGTATAAAGTTTCAAATTCTAAATTTACATATTGAAAGACTAGGTCAACGTCAAACGATCGAAACGGACGTCCCATGTTTAGAACACTTAGGTCTACCTGGCAAACACCATTGATTGATTTGAGTGGTGTCCAACTACGCCTGTTAATCAGTACGTACTACATGGATCATACTGTGTGAGGTAATTAGTGCGGTAGTCAACAGCCTACTTCGCCTTGTAGAGAGTCGTCTAAGAAACTGATTTTTATCTCTTTACAATCTGTGTTGAAAGCTACCTTTCTGTTGTAGGTGTTCGAATCGGGTGACGTTTTGTTGACAAACTATCCATATGTTGAATTTGATGTCTAGTAGACAATGTAAACTTATATTTAAAAAAAATAACCACCTGGCGATTCAAGAACTTATAAGTACAAGAAAGCACAACAAAATGAATTTAATTTCATGGAGAGACAATTAAGAAATACCCCAGTGTTATACATAATTAACCTAATGTTTGAGACTTGGGATAATTTCTTCATTTACAAGATTGTTCTGAATAATAATTTTTAAATTATTTTAATAGTTACAATATTTCGTTTTATTTTTTCACTTATTTTCTTCCTTTTCTTTTATTGCTGACTCTACAGACTGAATCCAACAGAGTGGTTTTTCAATTTTGGCTTAGTTTATTCTTCTACGATTTGGCCACCTATATTACATCTGGATGGTTAACACATGACATTAAATCACCATCAATCGTTGTTGACGGCAAAGATACAACCACAGTTTCAGTCTCATCGGCAACGACAACAACTTCCAACTCAGAGCATCGTCAACAGGATAATACTAAATCAGAGTCATCATTAAATCATTTATTCGGTGAACTACAAGCTCCTGAAACACTGGTTGAAATTGATGAGTTAAGAAAACTATTGTATACGCTTGCTGATCAAATAATTGATAAATTGGTTAAAACAACATGTCATGTAAGTGATTTGAATTCCCTTTACTTATTTTCTAGTGTACTTTTTATTCAGCAGAGATGTGCTCGTGCACAGTGCTCTTCCCTTAACCAGTTCACTAGCTTCTGTGATCATGCAATGCAATTATATTGAGGATGTTACTAACCTGTCATAACTTTCAGGAACAACGTGTACTATCAGGTATTCGGTAGTATGCCACAACATTTGTGTAACTATTCATGGTAGTGAACGGTTGTCTAAACATTAGTAAATACAGCAGTTTTCAAACTCATAATCCATAGATTGAAAGTTAGTCATCTATACTGACAAATTATAGGTCTGCACTTACAGTGTGGTTGGGCTAACAGTTTCTCATTTGGGAATGTGTTTCTGCCTCTAAGTCGTTTAGCTTTCTTACTCTGTATAGGATAAACTGTAAACTAGCAAACAAAAAGTAAGATGTTAAATGATGGTTGACATCCTGTCTCATATCAGCCTGCTAGCTCACATTCAATTATGACGCATCCTGTAAATAACAAAAAAATATCATAAAACCTTATCATCAAGAGGAAGTGTTTTTAGTCCTAAGTCTAATTCATAAGTCTAAGTCTATTCATAAGTGAATGAGAACACTCAGACTGATACAGAATCAGACTCTGAATCTTAAAATGCCGCTAAGAACTAGTTATTTTAGAGTTGCTAGAGAAACACTCTGAGAATGATTAGCGCGATATCAGATACAAACAAACTTTCTGAAAGCAATAGATTGGGCAATTAGTTTCTTTGCCCCTCTCTAGGGCATTATACATTTCGCCAAGTTTCAGTATTTCTCACTACATTCTTTGAAAATCTTAATTTATTGATTTCGGCGATTTCCTTCGATTGATTTGGAACAAAAGCTATTTGGTAGATGTTGTTTTGATTCTTCAGATAAAACGTCTACCGCGGGTACATGTGAAACAATATACACAATTAGTAGTAACATTTTAAGGATGCCTGTCGAGTTCTGATTGTACCAGTGAGCAAAAAATATGTGAAATAAAGCAATTACATGAAACATCCTGGTTGACACTGTGCTTAATCTTTTGTTCAACATTATCACAATAACATCATAATTGAATTTGAGGTGGATAAAAAGTAATTTTTTGCTGAGAGTAGGCTTTCCACACTTTGTACATTCATTATTGCCATAACTGTTGATGAAGCTTTGCAAGTAGATTTTTTTATTTTCAGAAAGTACTCAGGTAAATACTAATTTGGCTTCTAGATTATCAGCTGAACATACTGATTATGCTGCTAGCGCATAGCATCCTAACCATTAGTCGTTTTATCCAATCTAGAAATAACCCATTGTACGCATCTTTACGATGAGTGTATCCTTCAATTTTGAGCAGCATACGGATATCAGGGAAGCTGATTATTTTCATCACATTCCACGATGAAATTACTGTATTCTTTCAGAGTATGTCAGAGTCACTATTCATGTATTACGGAAGTTAGTTGAAGAAAGCAAAACATTTGATAAACCTATAAGTCCACCTTCATCAAGTTAGTTAGGACGTATTTCAAATACCTGAAGTCACTGTCTCCGACACCCTGTTATTTTAAACAGAATAGGCTCTGGATGAAGAAAGTCTGGCCTATACACCTATTTTAATTACGTTGTGGCAAAAGAAACATATCAGGATCAGGTGTCTGGAGAACTAAACTGGTGTGGTTTATAATTATTTACTCTCAGATAGAAACAACTGTGTCATATATTTTTTATATTCACATATAATCGTACTCCTGTTTATTCTCCTTCAACTTTCTACAATCTTCTTATGGTCTTAATTTCATTCCTTTATAATGCTTAAATCAAGTGACTGTTGATGTTTCGTCACATTTGGAGTTAGAAAATCTTCTGTACATTTAACCTGTGACGGTATTTTATGTGCAACTGATAAAATGGAAGACATTTTCTCGAACAGTGTTAGATTATATCTTCAATGAAATACAGAGCACTTTAAGAGATCTTTATTATTTCAGGGTTATTTATAGATGTTAGGTGGTATTCTGCATTATGTAAAAATTCTTTTAACTAACTTTTAACAGTAATAATAATAATAGTAATGCAAACTATAAAAGTACACAGAGTTACCACAACTATATAACTTTTTTTCTTTCAGACATTTGCTTAAATTTGTACTTAAAAGATTGTTAAACTTGTTGAATTATTGATAATTTTCTGCCAAATGAAAATAGGCGAAATTCACTCTTGAAATCTAATTTGTTCACAAAACTTTGTCAAGTAATGTAAAATGTATTTCCCTATTGTTAAAAAGGGTGAGGAAACTAGATATTACCATTTTTGGTGCAATGCTTCAGTTCTCTTTGTCAAGCGATTTATTTCGCACTTCAAATACTAATTAAACCTGGTTTTCACTTTGTTAATGATACCTCGCTGGAGAATTTCGGATAAATGTTTCATCTTATCTGAAAATTATCATCTGTACAAACCAGAAATATATTTTAAACCTATGAATAAGGAATTTGTTCAGATTTTTGTGTAGTGTTCAAATAGGATGGAATCAAGCCTGTAGGTCAGAAGTCTGTTTAATTCCCAAACAACTTCCTTCCCAGTTAGCCTCTGCCTGAATAATTTAGCTGTTTTTGATCGCTGACACTAACTGAGAAAGATTCGAAGCTTTGCAACATATATATGCAGCTTTCCAGGATCATGGATACTTATCTCTACTGAAAATTATCAATTACGAAGTTCAACTCAACTAAAAAGTCTTTTTCATTATCCTTGTATGTTCTTTAAAAAACTTTTATTCTTCACTTTATTTATATTATTTTTTGATTGCAGTAAGTTTCTAGGACTAAACATTAACTATTGGTTAGGGCTATAAGTCATTTCATTGATTTTCGTAGAAATGTATGCACTTTTTAGGGTTAAGCAGATTGAGATTAAATTTTCTTACATACACAGGCACATGCGTTAAGTAAATAAACTAACTATTCAGAGCGTTGAAAAATTTTCACTTTATCTGGAGATCATGTAAACACTTAAATTTAAGAAAAAATTTATTATATTAAGATTAGTATTGCTTACATTTTATAAGTAGTAATTCTACATTGAAAATGAAACGTGTTTATGGTTTAAAAAATTTAAGAGTTGATTTCAGCTGGATTCATAATTGAACACGATATGTAGATTGTTTTATAATTGATGGAATGTACTTCATCTATTTTCGATAAACTACTCCAGTGGCTGAATGACCTCGTAACCTGAAGGTTCTGCGCTCTATTCCCCTTTGGGTCATGGATGTATTATACTGAAAAGTCTTGAAGTAGGACGAAGCAGCTCTTATATGCTTAGTCCGTGAATGGTTTGATGGTAGAATGCCTGCAAACTACTTAAGAGGTCCACGTTTGACTGCTGGTCCAAGCACTATCAGAGCCTACATAGTTTACTAACCTGGAAAAAAAGTTTGGGTGAAAGACTAGCAACCCCACACCGTAAAAGCAGCATCACTGCATATAACACCTCAAAGCTGGAAGCCGTATGTTTCACTTGAAACGTGACGAATGAACAAAAAACAGCGAAGTTGGGGCATATTTTATAGCTGCGAAAGATAGCCATTGAAAACAGAGAATTGAAAACAGCTTTGAGTGTACAACTGATGATCGCGTTTGCAGCCTATATCATAATCAGTAGAATAATCGAATGAACAAAATATGTTTTGCTCAATTTTGAAAGCTGCATAGGTTTCACATCTGGGATTAGCGGATAAACCATATACATTGGTAGCGTAGCCTAGTCCCATAACAAAGGTTCAGCTGTATTCACTGCCGTAAAGCACTCTGGTCTTATACATTTAGTTAGTTTTATTTTTCTATCAGCCTTCAGAAATGTTTTCCTTCCAAAGAGGAAATGTAGAATATGTCAGCTTAAGCTAAATTCTATTTCCAAGCAATAAACCAATCATGCTTACAGTATGGTCATGAATTTCAATTTTTTAATTTTATTTTTGCATTTTGGAATAAAGCTTAAAATGTGATAAGTCTGATGCCATTGTACTCAAAAATTAAGTGAATCAATCCGAAGGAGACCGAATAACCGAATCGCAGTTTCACATGTTAAGTTTACAGGATTTGGGATAATTTCATTGGATATTTTGTCATTGAAATATATCAGTAGGTTACTGCCTCAGGAAATAAATGACAAGATATTTGATTCATAGTGTGGTGGTGTGAAACGGAATATTGCTCTCACATATCTCCACAGTTCAATATAACATTAGCAACAAAATACGATATATCTACTTGAACATTCTGTTTGCTGTTAGAGTCAGAATAGTATTCTCACAGTTCAGTATTGCATTAGCTACAGAGTACTATGTATTTGAACATTCTATTTTGTGTGGTTTAATGTAAGCCGAAATCACACGCTGAATGATTGGTTAGAGAATTTAAAATTATATATATATATATATAAATAGCTGTTTGGTCAGTTCAAAATATACCTTGGTTTCTGTGTTTCACCTTCTGTTGTTACAATAGTTTTATAATTCCTGGTTCATTTACGTACGGCGTTTCTGTGTGCACACCACTAACTAGTCTGAAATACAATGAAACAGTCTGAAGTTACTCGGGTTTAGTGGTTCTTTAGCTGATATCAGTCAGTTTTGAATTCAAGTCAACTATATTTTAAGCCAATTCATTAGAAATTATTGTCTCAAGTGAAGATAGATTATAACTGGTGTAATTCGTGTTCGTCTCACAGATCAGTGTGGAAAACATCAAGCTAATATCTTGAAAGTATTTAACTATGCGTTAGCTGAATCCATTCACACAAAGCATTCTCAGTCATAATTACGCTTACAAAAATGAAAGTATGACTGGTATGGCAATCTCTTATCAGAGTACAAATTTGATTTTTATTCTCAGGTCATTACTTGTGTTTCGAGCATCTAGTTGTGAATTTTCATCAGCGGTGTTGTTGTGTCTTAGACAGGGTGAGGTTGCTCACCTCACATCCAGCTCCATTCCTTTCCAAGCTTCCTTCCAGTAAAGTCAGGTTTTGGAGTGCGTGAACCAGACCACGTGTGCGCATAAGGTTTTGTGACGTACTCAAGGTAGTTATAGAACAGTCGAAAAGTAAATTCCTAAAAGGCAACCGATTTTATATTTTCTTCTTTTAATCAAATAGTCTTCAACACAGTCACAGAGTCATAAATTTGTTTTTCATATTTTATGCTAATTTTTAGCACTGTTATTTATCTTTTTCATCGGAAACGTTAATTAAAAAGATACGTTTTTATTCAGTCTTTATTTCCATAAATTTACAGTATTTGATGAGTGGTTACTAGATTGTCAGTATGCACAGTTTACAGCTGTGCGTGTTATTTTATTTTCGAAATCAATCAATGCTTCATTTTCAGCGTTATTCAGGTGTCTTCTTCTATTATGATTAAAGAAAAAGATTATTTCACCATTCGTGGAATGATGTTTATTTTATTAAACAAAGCCTGCCACTCTCATTTTGAGTACAATTCAGTGACCAGGTTGTATGCGGTTAACATTCTTTAATTGTAATGTATCTTCAGACTGAAAACTGGGAAAGTAACACCTTCTCAGCCTTGTAAACACAAAGTTTGCAACACTCTACTCTTTCGGTGTTAACTGAAGATTTAAGATATAGTGATTATCTGCTGTTCACATTTCATGTAATATGACTCTCACCTTTCAAATTAAATAGAGAAATAGATTGAGTCAGTCGTCTGGTAAACGTAGTCAACCACATATGTCAGATTTTTAGGCATTTGTTGAATACGATTCATACCTGCATAACAGGTTACTTTGAATTTGTCCAATAACGTAGCATGAGTGAAAATAACCGCTAATGTACATCGGGATGGTTTGAAATATGATTTTTATCCGTAAATGAATTTCATACAATTATGCATTATCTACTAGAAACGGAATTATTATTTTCACTATGAATTTAGTTACAAGACTTATCGTAAAGAAGTAAATTTGCCCGCTATTCTGTCTCATCAGCTTTGTTGTTTGAAAGGTATATTCAATAATCAACTATTGGTATTAGATGGTTGGAGGCAATCGGCAGGAAGCCTTGAACCTAGGTTTCGTGCCAGTTGGCACTCATCAGCAAGGCGTATCTGCAACCTTGAAGCAACTGATGTCCCTTCTGAGATTCGAACCCACGTCACCCAGTGCTGCAGTCAGAGACGTTACCACTGAGCTATTCAGGCTCGCGACTGACCTCCTGTAGGACTGTATTGGATATTTTAGATTGCACACTAGTCAGTAACTAGTGTAATGCGTCTACTCCTATCTTCGGTTCAGACTGAATTCTATCAGTCATGTTTGCAATGTGGCCACCATGCCAAGTGGCTCGCCATTACGGTGCATTGTGAATTTTTGGTATTAGCTGGTTGAGGGCAATCAGCAGGAAGCCTTGGACCTAGGTTTCGTGCTAGTTGGCACTCATCAGCAAGGCGTATCTGCCTATAGTGTGAAGTAATCAACTATTTTCAGACTGTCTTCATTCATTGTATTTTTTGCAAAAATGTATACACTAGTAAAATGTGTTTTCAGTTGCCCTTGCGTTTTGTAATTTAGTTCATCAACTTATCGAAAAAAAAACTATTTTCTATCAGTATTTACGAATAATACTATGATTAAGATACAAGTGATACAGAAAAGTTGATGGAGTCTTTGAAAGACAGGATTGAAACAAAGATTTGGAAATATATTGACATTGCAAGATATTTTATTCATTTTTCATATTACTTTATTTTCATCTAATTACAACAAATCCATCCATATACATATATTTACTCAGTTTTGTTATTTTCTTTTTACAGTCTATCTCACCATACATACCTGCTTTATATCAAGGCTCCTTGAACAATTCACCAGTGCGTTCTCAATCGGATGAAATACGTCTTACATCACCTACAGAATGGACCAGTGGTAATAGCAGTAGAATGGAACTATCCAGATGGTTGAACCAATTAGTTTTGTGTTTTGATGTAGCCTTCTATCCGACAGGCGGTTCACCGTTATCACCACTGCAAAATGATGCTGAAAATCTATCCATAAACTCTTCATCATTACAGTCTGGTATGAGTAATAAAATTCAAAATGGAATGACACAGGAAGAATTATATAATCAGCAATATCATTATTCGAATCCTCCTCCCCCACCTACTCATCAGCATCCTCATCATCCCCAGCACCAGCAACAACAACAACAACAGCAACAACAAAACCAATTGACACCGAATTCAAGATATCTTCAGAAGAGATCAGAAACTAGTGATTTAAGCATGTCAGGTGATTCTGATGTAGACAATGATATATTAATGATGAATAAACATTCAAGGGGCAAAAAATTAAGCCTACCAGATGATGAGGTATTTTCAACCGATTACTCTAGACAAAATACCTTGCAGTCAACTGAAAATACAGCAAACTATCCAATACATTCTACAATGAATCATATAGAATCAGTATTTTGGCGTCAACTTTTAGCAAATATTTCCTATGAAGTATTGAATACTATACTGTTTACAGGTTAGTTGTTTTTTTGTTTTTCTCAAAAAATAATTTCCTTTACCCTTAGCATAGTTAATGCTTTTCTTTTTTTCCCTCATAAATTAAAACATACTAGATGTTGGTGTTAGATTATTGAAGACTATTTGAAAGTACACTTGAACCTGTATTTCGTGCTTATTTGCAGTCACCTACAAGGTATGTCTGCAATTCCCGAGGTATTGGTGTGTTCCACTAAAGGCTAGACATACGACATCTATTTACCGACTGGATATGTTAGCATTAAGACACCACCTTTTTATCTGGATATCAGTTGATCAGTACTTTATTAACATATATAAGACTATGATGGGCGAAGGCAGTTAGACATATGTAGACTTGATGACTTCTCATTTTATCTGTTGTTTAATTATTCAGTCTGTAAAATAAGCTCAGAAATTGAAATGATAGAGAGGTTTTTTTCGCTGAAGTGGATATTTTTATTATTGTTTCATTCTATCAGCTGAATGATTGAATTGTGAAACTTCTATTACCTCACTAAAAACAATTATCCTAGCGCTGCATTCAACCACCCAGGTTTGAGAACGCCTACAGCGTCAACCAACTGAAAGTAAGTAAGCTTATTATATGATATCCTTCAATTTTGTTAGTAAAATGTTATTATGACAGTGAATACAAGGTAGCAGCAACTCGACCATATGGATTCTTATCTACAGCTGGTCAACATGTACGCAGTATACTTAAGTTACTTTATTTCCAGACAAAAGATTAAGATAACAGTTAGGTTTCAATTTCAATCAATACTAAATACTCAATTCAAATTTTAAATCAGTTGTACTTGAATCCAGTTATTTTGTTTCCGCTTAAATACATTCATTACAAATTGATGCAAAACTTATTAGAAGTATTTCTGAAGGAAGAATTAAGCAAGCATCAGTTATTTGTAATCATCACTTCTGTAGCGTAACAAATCATATTTTTTTTTAATGGAAAATATTGAAATAATCTGATTAGTGTTATTCCGTCATTTCAATTCTTCCCCTCTTCATAAATAGTTTCTTGTTACGGTTACTTGGATGAATACTTTCTTAATTATCTAAAACTGAGTGTTATTACTTAGTTATTTTGTTTTACAAGAAAACTTGATTACATAAAATCAGAATGATGTAAACAAGAAGAGCTATGATATAAGCAACGTTATTGTGAATAAGCATATGGCTTTATTTACAGCTGCATTTAATCTCGATGAGTATTAATATACATACAGATTAACAGGCAAATCTGTTAAGTAGTAGGTACTCCAGTTACCTGAGTTTAGGGGGTTGGAGACAGTCAGCCAGAAACCCTGGAACTACATACAACACTTATCAGCACTCGTTACCAGAATGTGCCAGCAATCTTTAAGGAACTGGTGCCTCTTTGGAGACTAGAAACCCTTTTTCTCAGTGTTGAAGTTACCAATGAGCTATTGAGACCCACGAATGGCCTCCTGTGGGCAATAACCGAATCCATGTGTCTAATTCTTAGGACTGGTTCAGTCCGGATTTTACCATTCAAGGTTTGTAGTCGTATCATAATGTCTGGCAAAAATAATTTAGTGTTTTTGTTCCAAACATTATTTTCCTCTTTAAAAGCAATCGTACAGCTCTACATTGAAACTGAATACCTTTTCCAGTTATTTTTGAATGGCGAGTAGTGGAAATAAAGTGTGGTAATATATTCTTCCTATTGAAAACTATGATCAACAAAACACAAAAAATTCATCGAAATTCCTTTCAGCCAAGAATTAACAATAACTGACATTAAAAATATCTTGATTGAGTCTTAGATTTTGACGTACTTCAAATTAATCAACTTCGAAGAAGCCGTTGACAGCACCAAATACGAAGTATTCTGGAGGCTACTTCACCAGTAGAGAGCGCAGTAAGGTAAATATTCATCCATTAGGGTACATTATGATACCGCATGCAATTCAATGCACAGTGGAAGCTCATGGAGGTGTTTCGTCTGACGGCAGCATTAAGACAAGGCTGCCTGCTACCACCAGTGGTCTCACTGACTCTGTGACAAACTGTGAGGAGTGAAAAGATAGGCATGCATCGAAAAGACGTCGCAAAATCTTGAGTTGACAGATGATTTATGTCTCATGTCTAACCGACTCAAAGATATGAAAGCAAAAACCAGCAATCTGATAGAAGTGACAGTAAAGACAGGAGTTTAGATGAAGATAGAAAGGGCAGAGAAGGCCAAGATACTCGACTAAAAACCATAAACAAATCTCTCACTTACTTGACCTGAGCATTGTTGTTTCAACTATAGGGGATGGCACAGATGTGGAGGTCAAAGCCAACAGCGACTGAAAAAAGAATAGAGGCGTTCACTGCTCTGATATCGGCACTCAGCACGACGAGTACATATAAGATGTCAGTGCTTCGATATGATTCAGAGAGTTGAAGCATGTGTCACAAAGAGCATTTCTAACTGCATCCATTGATCAACCAACAACTGCCTTGGTGGGTTTGTTAATGAATATCGGATGGCTGATAAGAATAAGCACATTTGAAATTATGGAAGAGAATCATCCAAGAACCTAATGCTCAACAAATATTCAATAGCAAATTAAGGCTGACTTGACGCATCCTGAAGAGACCACTGAGTGACATCAAAGGCCCTCGGGTGAAACCTGGATGGTTGGCAACGAGTTAGGCGTCAATGGATGACATGGAGGAGACCATGCTAAGACGAAATAAGATCTTGTGGGCCGTTGAGGATCCGTTTTAAAGTTGTGTAAATGAACTGAGTCCGATGGCGATGTGCATTTGAATCTTTCTGCTCCATGCGGAGTGCCTGAAATGAATAATAATCATGATAAAATTATCGCACAGGACAACATAATCCAAACTGAGATAAACTCTTTATTTTATCATCTTACTCACTGTCCGCTTATGGTATGTCAAAATTTGAACGGCTGAGTCTTGTTTTTGGTGATCACCCTAAAATCTGATGAGAATAACAAGCTCATGTAACTGTACAAATGGTACTACTTCTAAACATTACCGGATGATGATATGGATAATTCCAATCGTATCGCTAACTTGAATTATGGAATTTATTCAAGATAAAGTTATAGGGTAATAGGAAATAAGAATAATATCATAAATGGACATTTCCAGGGAACTCAACAGAAAAGAATTCATTTATTTTCAGAAACTAACTACCTGATTCTTCATATTTATATTATTGTATCAATGGAGAGTTAGGAAATCAAACACTTCACTTATTCCTTACTTGAAATAAAGAACTTGACGACAGTATCTCAGTCTACGGCTAATTATTACTTCAATGTAGATTAGAATTAAAAAAACACTAACCATTGGTAAACTGATCCTATTAAGTGTTGTTGAAATGCTTTGTATTCCCCTTATGTCTAAATATGATATAGGCAGTGCCCATATTTTATTTCCAACTTACTAAATCTCACCTTGATTTTGATGTAGACATCTATCACCTTTTTTTCTTGTTGAAATATTTTCTCACATTACATTGGTGCACCTTGGACCTGTTTGAAAAAAATATATCCACTTTGTCTGTGTGTGTTTGTGACTGCTCATTGAATTAAACTCCCATTTCTCGTGGTGTAAGATTACACATGACTGAGATGCGTCCTAATGACAAATCAATCAGAGCATTTGTATATACATATATTACATAGATGAATTTCAATGAGATAGAAATTTATATTAGCTTAACACTTGAATATATTCGTGAAGACATACTATTTCTAGGCAGAATAATTTTTCATTCAAGCAGGTTATTAGCATAATTAAAGGTTTTCAATAAAATATATAAAGTGTTCAGTCATTTATAAAGGTCAACATAGTAACTACGCTATTCATCTACTATAGGCTTATATTTTAGTCATAGAACTAGAAAAGAAATTTCCAACAGCTGAATTTGTTGAAGTTTCATTGATTTCAGGACAGATTTCATGGTGAATTAATACTACTTAGCATTCTACAGATTCGTGACTGGATGCCAGAAGGAATTTTTGGAGTTTCAGTAAGAACTGACAACGAGCTTGAGGACAGTAATGGCTGATGATATTGCATAACGATGGCTGTAAATCTCGAAATGACACAAATCAGAGTTTTCAGTTATGAAATTGCAAATTTACTGTTCTTTAGATCTGATAACACTGGGTGGGATAGTGGATGCGTATTGTTAAAGTGCCCCAGAATAGGATTCAGTAACAGATCAGTGCTTCATGATTTTTAGCAGTTCTCTAACTTATGTCGGCTTCTGCTGAAATCTATGATTGAAATTAACTGTGCAGTCTGTGTTGCAGTATGCACGGGATAAACATCTTGTGAAACTAGCTGTGCTCCAAGACTGAGAATCATACAGCATCCACAAAACCTCAAAGGAATCCAGTGAAACTCAAAGTCTAGAGAATACTCCATCCATAGCTCTTTATGATGTAATGTCAAAAGATTGATTATGATAAAATTGGAACCTTCTTTAGAAGGTTTCAGAAAGGGGGTAGCAATGGGACCACCAATTTCCCCAATCGCAGCACATATTTTTATGGCTGGTTGGACAAATATGGCTCTTAAGACATTTAATCCTATCCCAAAGATATCGTGAAGATATATGGATAAAAATTTCGTGGTGTTGAAAATAGAACATATATCTAGTTTCTTCACAAATATGAACTGATTAGTAGACGGAATAAGTTTTATATTTTAATCAGAAAATGGACAAGGAGAATTAGCAATGTTACATTGTAAAATAACGTAAATAAAGAACAGGAGATGGCAAACTATTCACTAGCATTTATAAAAAGTCAAGGCACTCTGGGAAAATATTTAGACTTTAATTCATTTCACCCATTATTTTTAAAGTCAGGCTCATTAAAGTGTGCAAAGAACCAAGCGATAACTCTAAGTAGCATTTTAAAATACCTATATGATGAAATGAAACAGACAGAAGAAGCGTCGGCACTAAATAACTATCCTATAAAA